GAGAGAGAGAGAGAGAGAGAGAGAGAGAGAGAGAGAGAGAGAGAGAGAGAGAGAGAGAGAGAGAGAGAGAGAGAGAGAGAATTCAAGGGGATGAGAATGACGGCAATGCTTGGGGGTGAGCGCTGATGACTACGGCGGCAAGCCCAACAGCCAGCAAGATCTTGAGGCTGAACCTCTTGGGACGTTGCCACTGAGCAGCCACTCTGTCACTCTGTCTGATGGGGCAAGAGGTGGACGCCCCCACATTGCCACATCCCCTAATATCATTTCAGCCACTGAAAATAGGATAGACAGCTGGAGGATAGGATAGGACAGTTTAGACAGACAGCTGAACAAGCTATTGGAAAGAGAAAACCATACGCTGCTGCAGGGATAGGATAGGATAGGATAGGATAGGATAGGATAGGATAGGACTGTGTAGGCATTGGGAAGAGATAGGGGATAGGATAGGAGTGTTTAGACATGGACATTGGAAAGAGACAGCTGAACTGTAGGATAGGAGAGGAGTGTTTAGAGATGGGAAAGAGAAAATCATACGCTGCATGGATAGGATAGAGGATAGGATAGGATAGGATAGAGGGTAGGATAGGATAGGATAGGATAGGATAGGACTGTTGAGACAGATGATCTCTGGCCATTGAAAAGGAAAAAAGACATCAAAATACGTTAGAAGAGAGCGCCGCGCAGCAGCAAGTGTGGGGTGACAGGGACATAAATAAATGTAACTGTTTTTTTTATTATTATTATTTTTTTTTAATAATAAAAAAATGTAACTGTTATTAAACAGAATCTGATAGATAAATAAATAGATAATGAGTTCGAATCCCGTCGGTATCAGACGGATACAACAATGCCAGGACTCTGGAGGTTAAAACCATTATTATTTAAAAAAAAAAAAAAAAAAAAAAAAACCCACGATCACCACAAAATCAAACTACCTCTTGTGGTTTCTTTTTTTTTTTTCCATTTCTCGATTTATACATGTCATCCTTACGCAGAGGGACCATCATGCTTGCCATCTTGTCTGTATCGTTCAAATTTTTTTTATTTTTTATTTTTTTTAATCCTCCTGTTCCAATTTTCACGGATGTCCCAAATCACACCTCTTGCAGTTTCCCCAGCTTTCCAACAGTTTTTTCTTTTTTTCTTTTTTCCCTTCTCCCCAACAGATGTCAAACTTGCACCACAAAAAAAAAAAAAAAAAAAAAAAAAAAAAAAAAAAAAAAACAAAAAAAAAAAAAAAAAAAAAAAAAAAAAACCTTGCACCACCACCAAAAAAAAAAAGAAAAAAAGAAGAAGGGCCTGCGACTGCTCACCAACCCCTCCCTCGCACCTAGAATAATTGACGAAGAGCTCTTGACTGGCATTGTCCGTCTTTCCCCGAATAGTGCGCTCCCGCCTGAATTCAGTCCCACCAGAAGTGACGGTTAATTCTTAACTTGTATACTTGTATACGTTTGCACCTCTCTGTCTCTCTTGGACGTATTCCGCGGGTAGATTCATCCAGCAGCGCGCTGAATTGCAGTCGGATGCATTGGCGAAAGTACGAGGATACTTGTCCCACCAGTTCCAAGGTGAGAGAGCCGCAGCAATGAAACCGCCGCTCTAAGGGCGTACTCACTACCTGCAGGACATTTTCGAACCGGTT